TTTTTTTTTGTTTTTTTACCTTCCTCAGTCCTGGGAGCTCATCAACGAAGAGGATCCCAACGACAGCTTGGCCCAGTCTCTGCCCGCTCCCTCCTCCGTTTTGACCCCGCAGCACTCACCGACGCCTGCTGCCCAGGAGTTCTCTGAAGACCTAAGTCTGAGGCTGTCAATCGCCCCCGAAACGAACGGTGAACTGCCAGGGCCCAGCTCCTCTCTGGTAATCCGAATTTTTTTTTTTTTTTTTTTTTTTTTTTTTTCATCTGAGCCCAAATTATTGCTCAACGCTGATTAACGATGTTTTGCTTTCCAACCAGATGAATTTGCTGCTGGTTACTTGTTCTTTTCCAGCTAACATTTTGCCCGTTGTCCTCCTTACTTTAAACAGAGCCAGCTGTCAAACAGACTCCGGTCTTCAAGTATGACAGATGGTGTCAGTGATCAGGCCCAGGCACCTCCTCTAACGGTACATATATCTAAAGTCTTACATTTCCTGCATCTTCTTCCTTTTGTTTCCCTTTCTCTCCTTGCTCCCTAACTTGGTCTCCCGATTAACATGTCTGATTCCTGTGGATGCACCATCTGTCTATTCCTTCTCTATCCCTCTTGTTTTAGCCTTCTTCATATGAGGGGAGTTGTGACATATTCTCTCTTAAAATTTAATCTCTCTCTACCTTACTGCAATCTTTCTATCTTTATAGGGTAACCACACCTCGTCCTATGCACTCGTGGCTGTATTTTTTGTGATTCATGTGCACCTGTGTTCGTTTGTGTGGTGGAGGTCTTGGTGGTGCAGCAGTGCACCAGAAGTGAGAGCACAGATTGAGGGCAGCAGCAGTAATTCATCCTCTGAGTCACATCATCAGTGATGATTTGGTTTAACAAACTGTCATATGGTCTGAATCAGATGTCGGCCGCGAAGTTGAGTCACAGCGTTTAGATTTTGCTTCGTCAGACCAGTAAAAAGTACAAGTGCAGATGTCGGTTTTGCTCATAAATTAGGATGTGCTTTATAGGCTGAGGTGCAGTTATGGAAGAACCAGAGGAAATGTTTGTTTTGGTGTAGAGAGCATTGGGTTATGTTGGGGGAACCAGTCATTCTGTGGAAAAAGTACACCGTTGAATAACTTGGGTTGAGATATTTTTTGTCTGCTTACGCTGTTGAGTGATGCTTAACTTTCCAACAAAAAGGCACTGGCTTAAGTAATCCTCACTGCTTATTAATTGCTATTAATTGCATTTATAGATTTCACTGAATGTAGCTACAAAAATGCTGCAGGAGTAACATACTAATCTGAGATGATTATAGAGATTTTGTGCATCAACAGTTTGTGTCATAGGGTTTTAATGTGGCTTTGTGTCAAAGAAGCTAATATGTAGATCTGGGGTTGTTGGTCCAAATCTCTCTTGAATCATTTGAGGTTTCCAGCAGTCTGCTGAAGTTCTGGGAATACCTGTCCTATAAGTGAACGGTCACAGTCAGATGCATCTTTCTGTCTCATTTTTGCTTGCATTTCTTCTGATTTTTTATTTTATTTTATTTTTTTACGTGCCAGACTTTTCTTTTTATGTTTAATTTTCTGAATACAGAAACTGTCAAGCTGTTTTGTGTTGGCACATAAAATCACTTTTCTGCTCTAACATCTTTTAAACACTTCATTTTTCCCTGATTAGTGTGACTTTAGTTTACTTTTCAGACCTGATTAGAGAAACTGTACTGGCGCCGAGTAAAATGCCACTCCTCAGGGAAAATGTGTTCTTCCTTTTTAACTGAAAAATAAACCACAGTTGTAAACCATCTTTCAAACATAGTCCATTGTGTCAATTACTCCCTGCACTTTCAAAGCCTCTGCACTTTGTCACCTTGGCCCATAATCAAATAAGTCCTTTTGTTTTCTGCCAATCCTCACCTCTCTTTGAGAATCAATCCCCCTTCTTTATCCACCCACTCTCCTTCACCCATGCCCAAGTTTTTCCCCCTCCTTCACTTTCTGTCTGCCTATAGAAACAAATTGTGAACTAAGTTGTTCCCCTGTTGTCTACCACCAGCAGGGTCCCCAGACCAGAAGAACAAGAGCTCAAACTGTGTCAGGTGGTGAGGAGCCCATGGTAATGCCTCAATTCATGTTCAGTTTAAAGCATCAGTCAAACACCTCCTTATTTCCCCCTGTGCAAGATGGACTGTTTTTCCTTTTGCAAGCAACCCATTAAGACTGAACTTCTGCAGAGCAAAAACATGACTTCTAGGCATTAATTCTTACAAAGTGCATAAAACAGCAACACACATGTTCTTCCTGAAAGGGGGAGAAGTTTATAAGCAGTACTTCCTGGTGGAGGACTTCATCAAGGGCTTTTATCTTAACTGAATAACTTCTTTCTTTGTTGGTTCCCCTATTGCGGATCAGATAACAGTTTGTCTCTGGTGCAAAGTGGCATCACTGTGCGTTATGGGATCTGAATGAAGGGGAAAATGTGGACAATGTTTTAGTTTTCTTTCGTTTCACTATTGGGTGCTACTTTTTGTTGACCTGTAACATAAAATCCTAAAAAGTTACATTAAAGTTTGCGATTAAACAGAATCAAATGCCAAAGATAATTAATAGATAGGATTTTTTTTTCTCTTTTTGGAAAGGCAACACTTTTATTCTTTTAACACAATAGATTTGATCTCTGTTTATGTTCAGATGTGTGACTTCATCAGTTTTTCCTTTTATCAATGTTTCTTACTTATTTGGCTTGTCAGGAATATCAAATGTGTTTTTCTGACAAAAAGAAAAAAGAAAAACTAACAAATTGTGACTTTATTCAAAACAACACTCTATCAATTTTCAACTGTATTTTTATTTTATTTTATTTTTTTTAACAATGAATGAATTAACATTCCCTGCACATGCTTTTGGGTTTTTGAAGCCCCCGCTGATGAGCTGTTTTTTTGGTTTGCTCTGTCTCTCCACACTCGATCAGTCCCCCTCGGCAGCTTCCTACACCCTGACCACCCCCGGCCTGCCCCCCGGATGGGAGGAGAGGAAGGACGCCAAGGGAAGAACTTATTACGTCAATCATAACAACCGCACCACTACTTGGACTAGGCCAATTGTGCAGGTACAGCGGGTCTGAGGGCTGGCTTTCAGGCCGGCCATATGCATGGGACTGGACCGACTCGGTTCCTGTTGTGGCGTTTGTCCCTTTGTCCTCCTCTGTTCTTCTCTGTGCAACCTTCAAACACAAGTCTCCTTTCCTGTCGTTCCTTCTGTCTGACTTCCTGCTTTGTTCCACTCTAATGTTTGTCTTCCTTCTCCTGTCCAGCATTTTGCTTGACTGCAGTGCATCTCTGTATTGGTCGGTCCCAGCATGGATGTGTAACTACCGCTCTTTACTCCCTTTCACCACCTCTGCTCCGTTTTTCTGTCTGAACTCGCAGTGAGACCAATACTGAGGGACTCGGTGTGCTTTTGCTGCTCATGTCTCTCCTTCTAATATCAACTTTTTCCAATAAAGAATACAACAAAGAAATAACAAAACACAAAAAGAAAGCGATCACCTGTCTCATACATGTTCATTGTCTCTTCCTTTTGTGAAACTCGTTTATTTGCTGTTTTTACTCAGAGAAGATGAAACATTTGCCTCCATTTTCTTGTTGGAAACTCAGTTTTTGCTGTTTGTCTTTTTTTTTTTTTAGCAAGTCATAACTCATTCTTTCCTCTCGGGGCCCAAATGACTCTTGCTTTTTTTGAGATTTTCAGGAACTCATTTCCTGAGTGTAAAGTTGGCACCCCAGACTACCCCAGTGCAGACAGGCGTGTTTAACAAGATGCTCCATGATTCATTCTGTCAGGCAACATCTCTTCCTTGAAATCCCAACCCCACTTAACCTCAGAGGTGCTGTTTTCACCAACAGCTGACTGAAGACGGAGCCAGCACCTCAGCAGCAGCAGTAGCGTCAGGGTCTGCCTCAGCCCTGGTACCCGCTTCCACCCCTTCCTCCTCCTCTTCCAATGCTTCCAACCACCACCTCCATGAGCCCCAAGTCCGACGACCTCGTAGCCTCAGCTCTCCCACTGTCACCCTTTCCACCCCTTTGGAGGTGAGAATTAGAAACCTCTACTAACTTCTATCCTCTTTGTTCTCCCTTATCCTCCATTTTTTTTTTTATTTCTCCACCACCCAGGGAGTCACATTTGTCAAATTGTAGCACCCCTGCTGTTTGTACTTTGTACTACCTCTGTTGTCCGATTGGATAGGACATAGTATTCTCCTGTAAGATTTCAACAAGTTGCGGCAGCCTTTTTGCTATTTTGGTGTCATCTCTCTGAATCAAATCCTGACACTTGAGCTGTCCTGGTCTGTTCAATAGAAAATCTGAGCTGGTTATTACAATATGAGTAGGCCTGTCGTAATGCATTTTGCTGGACGAAAAATTGTCCAGGAAATTATTGTGAAAAATGATAATGTTCTAAATCCATTTTTAAAGGATATAATGATATTGGTATAATAACGCAACTTTGTCATTTCAAAGAGTAATTTTGTAAAGAACACAACAGTGGAACTGGAAGACATTTTTAAAAATAAAAAAACAATAAAATAAAATGCTAATAAAAACCACACACAACCAAAATCATAAATTAAATTGATTATGATGTTTCTTTAAGCACAGTGGGCCTTTAAAAACATTTACAATCAAGCTCATTTTAATTGTTAATGTTTGTTGATTTATTGCTTATTGCAACAGGCAGAAACATATTCTTGGTACTACAAATTAATAAGTGAATTTATAAATGTAGAGATCTATTTGTGGAAAAGTAACCCTGACATGTATTGCATATAAGACATCTAGACATACAACTTCTGACATAGCTGTAGTAAAATACCAACTGCATTCATTTCTCTGAATGGATGTTCTGAAAAAACAAAACAAAAAAAAACATTGATTTTTCATTAGTTTTCACTGACATTATGCTGAAACAGAGGAATTTATTTTGTGGATTTTTAAACTTCTTTTCCTGAGGTGCTAATAAACAACTCTGGCCTTTCATTTCTACATGTTAAACTTGCACTTATATAAATTATGTTGCTGCTGATTCTTCACAAACTTGAGACAGAGATTATTGTTCATTATTTATTTTTGGACATTTGAAATGGTTGATTGAGCTCTTAATGTTTTATTTAGTAATAAAACCCCTGAAAGTTTAAAGTTACTTTGTCCTGGTAACCATATAGTCACAACAACTTGCTCCCATGAATCCAGTTTTTTTATTTTATTTTTTAACTAGTTGAAGTTTGTTAATAATCGGCTCTGACGGTTAACGCGTGAAACACCTGATTCTTCAAGTTAACTATTTAAATTTCACCGTCGTATTTTGACCTTTTTTAATATTTTTAGATATACCGTTTCTTATTAGTGCAGCTGGAGGCAAGAAATGTTCCTGTGATGAAGTTACTTTGAATATTATAAACTCATTATGCTTTGAGGACCAGAAATGTCGAGGAAACATGCATAGCTAATTAACATCAGCACACCTTTTTGCCCACCACCGCTGTTCACAGTTTCGCTCATTGCTGAAAATCATCTGCTGCCAACTAGGGAGGAGACCTGGAAAAAGTTTAATTAAAGCGTGTGGCTAATAATAAACTAGAGGAAGTTAAAGGAAATAAAACGCACTCTCTGAGGTTGTTGTAATTACAACTTAAAGTGAAGGTGATTTAATTAATTGAGCTTTTCTGTTCCTCTCATGTAAAAAAAAAAAAGAGATGAGCGACACTGACTGGAGACGCAAGTAATTACTAATATTCAGTAGCTATAACATGGATAGATACAATCTTAAGTGGTTTAAGGTGCACTATGTCATGTTTTTAATGCTTGTTCTCTGCTTTTTTTTTGTTTTGTTTTGTTTTGTTTTTTTAAATTTTTAGTCCACTTCTCTGTATTAACTATAGAAATGGATTTTCCTGGTCACCAGAAATAAATGAGGGGGGGAGGAGAAAAATCACCGGTTTTCTTTAAATTAAGTTGCATTGTATTGGAAATTGATCAAAGTGGATTTTCTGGGCACTTTTTTTTATAATTATTGACAAGTTTGCAGCATTGGTGACAACTTGGTCTCCTTTATGTGAGATGGGACTGAAAATAAAAACCCATTCTAATATATTTATATGATGGGAAAAATTCTCATTCTCTTTTCACATTTCTGGGTTTAAATGTGGTTATTTGAAAGTTTGTTTGCTTTTTAAGCAGAAGATGAAGGCAGTCTCTGTACAGAATGTCCTGTTTGCTGCCATTAAACATTCCTGTTGTCGTGTCAAAGTGTTAGTCATCTAAATCCATTGTCAGCTTTATGTCCTCCGTTTCTGCTTTTATCAGTTTGAGTGACTGATTGACGAAACTTTTTTTTTCCCCGTTTTTTTTTTTTTTTTCTTTTTCTTTTTTTCCCACCCAGGGTGCCAACAACATCCAGGTGCGGAGGGCGGTGAAAGACACCCTCTCCAATCCGCAGTCTCCTCAGCTGTCTCCGTACAGCTCCCCAAAATCACAACACAAGACCCAGCAGAGCTTCTTGCCCCCGGGCTGGGAGATGAGGATAGCCCCTAATGGACGGCCTTTTTTCATCGACCACAACAGCAGAACCACCACCTGGGTGAGCTAACACACTGCTGCTTTTGTATCTTCACATTTCTCTAACATCTAAACACACAACAACAAAGGTTAGCTTTGTTCACAGTGACATCTAGTGGTGGAAAAGGCAATTAAAATATGACTGCTGCATGAGAATCAAGCTTTTCTGATTTTATATTTTATTTTTTTCTGATTTTATGTGTTTTTAATGTCTAATATTTTATTAAAGAAATTGATAGTGAGATATTAGTTTTATCAAAAATGTTTTGCTCCTCTTCTCAGGAGGATCCCAGGTTGAAATATCCCGTCCATATGAGGAATAAGAACTCAATGGAACCTGGTGAACTTGGTCCTCTTCCTGTAAGTCCTCCCACAGATTGATATGTCTTTGCTCTTTCTGAGTTACAGCATCCATTGCTTTTACTAGCACCCTGGTTACGTTGTGTGAAGTCTTGACTGAAAGTCTGTTTTTTTTTTTTTTGAGAAGCATAATGCCAGACTGAACTTTTTTTTGTGGATAAAAACAATCCCATATATAGGCTTTCACAGATAAACTGTATACCATCCCCCAAGCATTTACAGTTATACAACTTCCTTTAGTCACTCAATTATTTCCTAAAAGATGAAGAAAGATTGAAAGAGGAGGTTCAAACTCTAAGTTGTCCAGGGTCAACTCTTATGCACTCTCCTGTACAGCTTATGCGCTACGTAAGAGATGCAGGTCTGAAAAAGCTAATGGTGCTTTGTGCCTCAACGAGGTTTCTAGTGAGAGAACGAGTCCCGCAGCATAACAGAACCTACACCTTTCTTGTACTGGGCGAATATTAGCTTTTCACATATTCATCCTTTGTTTTATGCCAAAGCTCATTTTTAGTATCACCTGACTGAAGCATGTTTCTAGTGAAATTCCCAGTAGTCTTGCAAAAACCATGTTTCCAATTTTGATGGTTCTTCTGGCATTTCCTCTGGACAACTGCTTAGTTACGAAAGATAACTACTTCACTCAATCACAATGTGAGGTAAAGACTTTGAGTGGCCAATATTTCAATAAAATTTGCTATCCTTATTTTGTTCATTTTTCATTTATTGTGGAGACTTGGTGAAAGCTAATTTCTACTAAAAGCTGTGGAAAAGTTAATATGGGTCCTGGTTCTGCTTTGTCACAGTTCCAGTTGTTTTAAAGGTTTTACTGTAGAGAACAGTAATAAAACATTTTTTCATTGCCTTTGTTAGAGGTGCCAGTTACTTTGAAAATGGTGATTTTTGTAATGATAATAATTTGGATATTTTTTTTTCTCCAAATGTAAGACATTTACATTATGAATGTATCTTAAGTGTAGCATTAGTACACATTTTTATAAGGGGGTTGGGGGAGGGCAATAACTATACAGAGTATTTGTATAAAACTTTTGGTACACTACATTTTTTTTTTGTCTAACCTAAAAGTTGATTGAAAATCAATAACTTGGAATCGATCTTTTTTTTTAAAGACATTTGTACAGTTTTATTTAGCCCATTGCCATGGTCTAAGTTTGAATTTAAAGACACCAATGTGGATTGGATATGCTAGAACCCATTAACACAGATTTGCGTATGTACTCGGTCAGAAACTTTACAGCTGTGATCTGTCCAGGTTCTTTTGAGTATCCTGCCGTTTACGTATTGTATTGCTTTTTGTAAAATCTTAAATCCAGCTTGTCATTTGGGTTGATGGGTAAAGATTACTTATGGATAATGATGTTAAGAAATGAAGAGTTCATAAGTTTGTATATCTCACAGGCTTTTTACGATGTGTGTGCGTGTGTGTGTGTTTGTTTTTCTTTCTCTTCTTTCCATTCTGATGGATCTAATGTTTCTTCTGCACCTGGCCATATGTGTTTGGCAGAACCTACCAGAGGAGGTTGGTTGATGCCTTCCTCCCCTCTGCCTGCCTGCCTTACCTGTCTGATCAATCGCCTGCAGACAGCCTTCCAGATTTTTCTTTGTTTTTTTTCTCCTGGTTCTTTCTCTTCTTTTCTCTCTCATGACCGGCATGGATGGATTGTACCTATATCCTTTCAGTATTTTAGTATTTTTACCCCCACTTTGTCTTTTTCTATCAGCGCCATCCATGCACCACCACTACACCTTTTTTATTTTTATTTTTTTTAAACAATAAGTTCAGAGCTCCAAAATTAATCATTATCCTGGGATTTGCTCCATGTTTGTGACCCTGTATTGGCATCCGAGGGACAAAGGCAAGATTTTTGAGCGAAAATGCAAACAGAGGAGCTGATTAAAGGAGGAAGGAAAGTGAAAACAGGCAAGAACTTTTGAGAGCAGAAATAAAAATGTATTAGAGAGAAAGTAACAGGCTAGTGTGCTGCATGTGTTGACAGCTTTTGTTTGGCCCCCCCGACTCATGTAGCAGCCGCATTATTAGGAAAAACAAAAAACATGCATCCCGTAGCAACATCCTGATCAACTCTGTTCCTTTCTCCTGTCATCACTTTAAATCTACCCCAACTGTTTGACTGCCTGATCGCTGGTTGTCTTACGAGCGTGTCCGGCCCGGGACTCCGTACACCGAGTGCTCACCGTGTCAGTGGTGGTACGCTGGCGTGTACCAGTTTCGATGAGTTCAATTTATTTATGTTGTGGTCAAAACCCCTGCCCTGCCTTGCTGATGCGTCCAACTCAAATAGGGCAGGAAATCCTTTTATTTCTCTTGCTGTGTGTCTGATTGAGCTTGCCTCACCTGCAGTGCTGTGATCTCAGTGTTTTGACCTTTTTGACCATCTGGCTAGCTCAATTCGAACAACAATCAAGAAGGAAAAATAAATGGATGAATTAAAATGACTATTTGAGCTTGTGTAATGGTGTCGTCTAATAATCGCGTCGCTCATTTTCCGCCTCTCGCTTCTTTTTCCAGCCCGGATGGGAGGAGAGGGTTCACACAGATGGACGCACTTTCTACATTGACCACAGTAAGATTGTTATCACTATTTTATTTTCTCATTTTTCTATTCTTTTCCAGAATTGTTTTGTCTTTAGATCATCAAATATACCCGACGTAGATTTTGAACAAAATCTGAAAAAATTGCATTTGTATTAAACCCCCTTTACTTAAATATCTAAAGAATCAATTCTCTTCCACTTTTGCCTCTGCAGAAAGAAAGTCCATCTTTGTATAATCTCAGCTTCAATGCATTTGTTCTCTGAAGGCCTCAGGTATTTGTTAGAGAACATTAGTGAGCAAACGGCATCACAAGAATCAAGGAGAAAGTTGATACAGAGATGAGGTAGAAACATCCATTGGCAGGAATCCTTTTAAGAGTGGCAAGAAGAAATCAGTTGTTGACAAAAAGCCACAAACAACAAATATTTGGAATATGAGACCGAATTTGAGTCCCATTTCTAACTTCGCTCCGTGTTTCACTAACAGAATCGCCTCAGTGTGATCATAGTTGGGTCATGCAGAGTCGATTCCCATAGTGAAACACCTCACTCTGCTATCAAAGGACCAGGGATTACGCTAAGTAGCACAACATTTTTCGGACTATATGCTAAATACTATCTGAACACCTCTCTTCTGAACATACATGATGATACGTGGTGGTGCATCATGTTGTGGGAATACTTTTTTTTTAATTAAGGAGGTATAAATATCCCTGCAAGGCATGGGAAGGAAGTCATGTGGGAGTTTCATTTGCTCTGTCTTAAGTCTGAACCGATATTTAAAAAAAAACATATTCCTGCCTATTTCACACAGATACAAAGACCACTCAGTGGGAGGACCCCCGTTTACAGAGTCCGGCTATCACGGGACCCGTGAGTTACTTTGCGTCTTATAAATCTTCTTGCTCATAGATCACAACAGCGTTCGCTTACGATAGACTGCAGATTTATCTGACGCACTATTTTCAGCCTCATCGGGAGATGAATCGTTTTATCTGCAAGTCAGTTCTTAGACGTTTTTTGTTTGTTGTCTTTGCAGGCTGTTCCTTACTCCAGAGAGTTCAAGCAGAAATATGACTACTTCAGGAAGAAATTAAAGAAACCGGTAATAAGCCAGTCCTTCCCTTGTGTCGTTGGTGTCTTGCAGAAGTTTAGTAGAATGGATCTGAATTTAGCCCCAACCCAAAAAACTACTATTTGCTTAGGAAGCTGCCTTGATAGGAATAGACTGGCTTCCATTGCCAAGTTCCATTAAAAGTTATGGTTCCTAATGCCATACCCACACTATTATTTCAAAAAGCCTCCATTCTTTCTGTTGACAGCCGAGACATTGGCTGTTTTGTGCTTTTCCAGGCAGATATCCCCAACCGCTTTGAGATGAAGCTACACAGGAACAACATCTTCGAGGAGTCCTACCGTCGAATCATGTCCCTGAAGAGGCCGGACGTTCTAAAAGCACGATTATGGATCGAGTTTGAATCAGAGAAAGGACTGGACTACGGCGGCGTGGCCAGGGAGTGGTTCTTCCTCCTGTCTAAGGAGATGTTCAACCCCTACTACGGCTTGTTTGAGTACTCTGCCACGTAAGCCTCATCTTGTTTGTGTCGACCGGTTCTATTACGAAAAACCATCAACTCCTAGTGACAACGCGGCTCACAGGATACAGTCTTGTGTAAAGCTGCGATGGCGCCATAGTGGGATTAAAAATAACCTCCTTTGCTCGTGCGTTGGGGAGACGAGGTGTACCAATACTCCCTGCTGTTCTTTCTCCCCCACCCCCATGAGACCTGTGAAGGCTTCCTTAGACTATGATTAACCTTTCCTCGTATTCAAAAAGCCATCCTGGAGCAAACGTTTCCCACAAACAAGATCATAAAAGTGCCATATGTTCTGTTCCTTTTCTTGGCACCATCATCACCTTGCAATGACGCAGCTCTGCCTCTTTTGTACGCAAGTGCTGTTGAATAACAAAGAGGCCGTAAAAACCAACTGTTCTTGGAAAACAAAAGTGTAATCAAACATTGAGGCTCTAAATTAAGTGTTTTAGTTGCTTATCAAGTCTTCTTTCGTGCCTGAGTTTTAATATGAGAGCAAACAGAAACGAGTTTTTTTCCCCCAGTTTGTCTCTTCTCCAACCAATGAGAAGTTAATGTAAAGATGTAGTGATGTCATCCTGTTTGTTTGATTGACGTAATTTTAAAAACTTGTATAAACATGTATTTTTTTTTCCCCCTCTTGTCTTTGTCCAGGGACAACTACACTCTCCAGATCAATCCTAACTCTGGCCTCTGCAATGAGGATCACCTTTCCTATTTCAAGTTCATCGGGCGTGTGGCGGGAATGGCTGTGTTTCATGGAAAACTCCTGGATGGTAGTGATTCTATAGCCTCTTTATGATCTAATTTCCCTTTGCAATTGTTTTTTTTTTTTTTTTTTTTTTATCACTGACACAGAAGCCAGTTAAAATTAGGAAACGGCCTACACTAGATGTTAGATTAAAACCTTATTAAAATGGTCATAGTCAACACAATAAAAATCACTGAAACATTCATAAGTTGCAGTAATTTAGTTCTCGCATTTTATGAAATGTATACAATCTGATGTCTTAAAGTCTTTTTTTTTTCCTTCGGTTAATTAGAAGGACTTTCCACTACAGCTAATGAAACGAGGCATTTACATCAGAACATTTTTAAAAACACATTTTTGAAAAAGCAACATGGGCTTATTCAAAAGTAGACCTTTTTGTCTGCGCTGATTAACATACTTCTGGAAGAATGGTCAAAAATCCTTCCACAAAGAGTTTATGCTGCTATGGTTGCTAAGGGGAGTGAGCCAACATGATGTCGCACCCTTTACATCAGTTTCGTGTTGCGGATGATTGATTGTTTTACTGTTTTAATGTGGCTATAGAACATTATGTTGTGACAAACTTGTCTCATAAACCTATGAAAGGGCTTACAAAAACCTAAAACCTTTGCTCTGAACATCATAAACTTTAATGAGTAGGGTTTCAGCGACTTTCTGAAAAATAACATGCATGACCTATGAGGAAAATTAAACATTTTCTTTTGTCCTTGCAGGTTTTTTCATACGTCCATTTTACAAGATGATGCTGGGGAAACAGATATCGCTTAAGGACATGGAGTCTGTCGTAAGATGTTTTTTCTTATTTTTTTATTTTTTTTTTCTAAAATATGAGCAATAGAGCAACTCTCCAATTTTGAGTAAAACTACTTAATTAAGATACTGTAATTAAGTACAGAAATTAAGTGCTAAAGAAAAAATTTTACATGGTAAAACCCAAATGGTAGATGTCTTTAATTTCAGATCTGACGGGGGTTGTACTTTGTTCTTATCATTACTATAAATCTGGCACAAATGATTTATTGCAATTAAAAAATAATAATTATTTGATATTTGACCTAATAAATTAAATTAAAAGCCCGACACGTATGCTGGTTTCCCCACAGGACAGTGAATACTATAACTCCCTAAAGTGGATTCTGGAAAATGATCCCACAGAACTGGACCTGAGGTTTTGTATTGACGAGGACAACTTTGGACAGGTGAGCAGATATCTGACACCATTTTTATATGCATTATTGTTCTGAATACCATCCTTGTCGATACACAATCAGGGTTGTTTTAGCTTTCGTCTGGTTTTTGTGTTGTTCCTCAGACATATCAGGTTGACCTGAAGCCCAGCGGTTCAGACATGGTGGTCACCAATGAGAACAAGAAAGAATACATTGAGTGAGTTCTTCTTCTTGTTTTCTTTTAAGATGAGCGTTTAAAGTTAGTATCTCCATTGTTTCTTTTTTCTTTCTTCATTTTTTCATTTTATAACATATTTTAATTATCTTCCATCTGTTAGCTTGGTCATCCAGTGGAGGTTTGTCAACCGGGTCCAGAAGCAGATGAATGCCTTCCTGGAGGTATTTTTGTGTAGTTATTATAAAGTTCCACAAGGGGGCAGTGTTGCTTTTTTAAAAAATGTTTATTTTTTGTAAAGGACGTGGATATAAACTGCATTACTCATTTTCATCTGATTTTGTTACCTTTTTAAAATATTAGTTTTGGTTTGATTCTCTTGTTGTAACTGTTTTTAATTTTCAGGGATTCACTGAGCTCATTCCAATAGATTTGATCAAGATCTTTGATGAAAATGAACTTGAGGTATGGACATCTTAAAAACTTAACATTTGTGGTTTTTATATTCTTTTATTTTATGATAGAGCAACACCCTGGTCATTGTCAGTAAGCTTTAGATACAATGATTTCCTGCCTTTACGTCTCTTTTCTCCCTCCCTCTCTGTTCCTGTGAAGCTGCTCATGTGTGGCTTGGGCGACGTCGACGTTAACGACTGGAGACAACACACGGTTTACAAGAACGGCTACTGTCCCAACCATCCGGTGATCCAGTGGTTCTGGAAGGTTTGTTAGACTCCCACAGGTGGACAGAACGTCACATACTAAAATCAAACAAACAAAAAAAATTCAATAAAGAAATACTCACGTAAAAAAAAAAAAAAAAATTATTTAAAAATTTTATTTAAAATACTACATTTATTGAAATATACCAGAGCACAAAGATAAACAGATATCTGATGGAAACTTTTTTTTTAAAAGTCAGTTCAGGATAACAAATCTGTCAATTCTGACTGGATTTAACTGAATTGCATTTTTATTTGAATGTATTTGGACATAGTTAGGCTATATTTAGTATGCTTTGATTAGATTTTTAGCATTGTACTCTGAGATGAGTGAGTTATACGCTACCAGAATGCCGCTGATCCAACAGCTGTATTGAAAGCAGAAGAGTTTTAATACCAATAGTTGCTGTGAAATATATATTTTCTTAAAATTTAGCTCTTTTTTTTTTTTTTTTTTTTTTTTTTTTTTTTTAAAACTTTTTAAACGGGCCCCCGTGGGTTTTTTTTTTTTTTTTTTTTTGGGGCCTGGGA